GTTACTTCAGACACGCGTACAATGCCATTCGTAGTCCTGAAAGATTGACATGAGGTTTTAGGACATTGTATGCTCCTGATATTCGAAGCTTCGAGAAAGTTGTGAAGGTATGAAAGTCACAGGTAACGCATAAATTTGAGTGTGGCATATGTACATAGGGGCCAAGATGAACCACAATACCGTAACAAAGGGAGACCCAGATAGACGAGCTACCGTAGCCACTGGAGTTGAGTGATTGTGATCTGCAGGTCCTGTGGACCAATTGCGCTAAGGAAGTTTCCCGTATGCTTTGGAGCTTTGTAGATGACATACTACGGATGATCCTCAATCTACTTCCTGAGACAGAAAAGTGACCACTCGCTGCCACTAGGAAGATATCTTGCCGATTATTGCACGATATGGATCTATTAACGTGTCTGAGAAGTGAGCAATGGGGCGTAATTACTTCGCAAAGAGTTTGACGTCACTCTGATAGAAAGTCCATAATAAGCATTTGAGAATCGCCGCCATACTCACGCCCATGCAGAACGGCACAGTAGAGATCACTGGCGTTCGATTTTTGAAATGGCTCGGTGCCATTGCTTATCGAAGCTACCCAAATCGACTGTGGACGTAATGCCAGTCCATGAGTGCAGCCATACACACCAAACGGTGCTAGCAACCCCAGGACACAGAAACGGCATATGAAGGCCTTTTCATTGGCACAACCCGAAACGTGAGGGCAACATGCGATGCTTTGGCAAGCACTTGCTATCGCGTATGTGCAGACAGAAGAAACTAATGCTAGATGTCAGAAGTGATGTTTTGTATGGAGAGACAGAGGAAGTCAGCTTACCGTTGCCTACTTCTCCTGAAGTCTAAGATGTCAAGAAGCAGCGTGTGTTTAGTTGCACCAGGCAACACTCCTTGTAGTACATGTACATGTAGGTAGCCAGCTCTTACAGTAAATTCCTGTTAAATTAAGTCCAGCCCTGTCAATGGATTGAGAAACCCTCGAGGCATACCCATTAATGTGACGCATGTGAAACCACAGGCCTATACTGAGAATTGAGCCTGTTGCTCCAAATGATGTAGTAGATGATAAGTTGTATTGCCAAGTACATTGGGTCATGATTGATGTTGAACAGCCGGTGTTGTTGAAGAGGAATAGGCTTGAATGCAGGAATGGTAATGCCAAAGGGAAGGAGATATCCCCGATAGGAGGGCGGCAATAGGCCAAAGTATCTTTGATCGACTATCTTGTAGAGGATGACTTTGATGACAGTGTAAATTGTACTGTAGATTGTTGTTATAAAGTGAGTACATTCCCTCAGAACTATAAAGAAGCTATGCAGTCACCCCAAGCTGAATCATGAGAGCAGCCATGAGGAATGAAATGAATTCCTTGAAAAAGAATAAAACATTCACTTTAACCACCTTACCTGAAGGGTCGCAGTTTAGTGGGGGGTCGGTGGTGTATGTAATCAAGGATGGTCCGAATGATTGTAAAACGTTACAAGGCAAGATCTGTTGCAAAGGGGATATAGTCAGGTCGAGGGTGTAGACTATGAGAAACATTTTCCCCAACGGCTAATCTTACATCGTGCGTGTCTTAATGCAGCTAGCAGCACAGCAGGACTTAATTCACATCAGATGCACGTCAAACTGCCTATCTACATGCTCCAATAGATTGTGAGTTGTACGTGGAACAGGGCAGAGGTTTTGAGGTACCACCTAGTTCTGAAGAGAAACTGGTGTACAAACTGAACAAGTCTTGTATGGGTTGAAACAATCGGGTTGAAATTGGAATTGTCTACTGCACGACCACTTGATAGAAAACAGTTTTGTTCAGAGTCATGCAGACCAGTTGTATGTATACCAACAAGTAGGTAAAGCAATGATTGCCATTGTTGTCTGGGTCGATGACCTGATTATAGGAGCCAGTAGCGATATATTGTTGAGTGATACACTGTTCAGGTGAAAATTTTTACATGAAAATCTTGGTAAACTGTCACATTTCTTAGGAATTGATTTCGAGCAAAGTGATGGTGTTGTAACAATGAGCCAGAAGAAGTATTCTGTCTCAAGGTACTTGAAAGGTTTTGAAATGTCAGACAGTAAGCCTAGGTCTACCCCTTCAGAGCAAAAACTCGAGTGTCACGGTGATGAAACGGTCGACTCCAAACAAGATATCGTGAGGCTGTAGGTAGTTTGATAATGCCATGACTTGTACCAGACCTGATATATGTTGACTGTGACCAAGTTGTCACAGTATTTGTCTAAACCACTGAAAGAACAATGGGTTGCTGTGCAAGCACGTCTTGAGGTATTTGAAGGTACTCTCGACTATGTCCTGTGTTACAGAAAGTGTAAAGAAGGCGCTAGAGTTAAGGGTTACAGTGATGCTGACTGGGCATCTTCGGTAGAAGATAGCGCGCAGCACAACTGGCTATTGTTTCAGTTTATTCTAAAAGCTGGTGCCCTGATTTCTTGGAAATCCAGGGAAGTAACCCACAGTAGCCCTGTCGTCATGCGAAGCAGAGTACATGCGACTGGCAGCAGCGATACAGGAGAGCCTGTACCTTACTCAGTTGTTAAATGATGTAAGTGGAGGAGGTCAACGTGGATCTGTTGTGATCTATGAAGATAATCAGGGCACGATTGCTCTAGCTAAGAATCCAGTGCACAGACAAAGATCAAAGCACATTGACATACGCTATCATTTCATTCGCACTGAACTGAATCGTGGCAAGACAGTCATCAAGTATTTCCCCACTACCGAGATGATTGCAGACATGATGACAAAGCCAGTAACAAGGTTTAATTTGGATAAGTTCAGAAGCTTTATTTTTGGTCATTAGATATACATTAAGACATGTACCAGTATATTGTGTATATCATTTGGACAGTTTGTCTTCTGGTCCATGTATATATTATGTATGTTTAGTTGAATCCACTTTAAGTTTAAGTGGGGGTGTTAGAGTGTAAACTTATTGTAGCTTATTCTTGCTCCGTTCACCCTGTATGATAAATGTACAGCCCGTATAGTGGCGCCATCTACAGAGTAAAATAAACGGGAGTCTATCGACCCGTCCATTGTGTGATAAAACAGTAGTGTTGTGTCTTTCTTTCTCTCCCGAGTCTACCTCCGTTACTATGACTGCCCAATCAACAAATACTACTACTAACCGCGCTGACAAAGTAATACATTGTTGCGCGCTTTGTTCTAAAACCAGAGCTTTGTCATTGCGTGACTTTGCAGGGCTGCTAGCTGATGCAGCGTGGAATAAATCCCATGGGGGCTAATGCACCGCGTCCTTCCGAGCCGGCTACCTTCTCCGGCCGTGCCGCCTATCGCCGGCCGCGAATTTTTTTTTTCCAGACGGTATAATATAGGAAGGATTTAGGCGCCTTCTGATTAGCTGGAATTTGGCAAGATGTCAGCCTCCATGACTTTTAACCAAAATCCCCAATTATCTACCAAAAACTTTCCAGAACTTTCTGTAAGTTAGGTTAAAGTAGTTTTTAGAATGTTTTCTTTAAAACAACATGGGTTTGAGTGAATTAACCCAAATATCATGCCGTTTCTTGACTGATTTGCTTTGGCTGAAGAAAACCTTCAAGACAAGAGAACAAGCGCCGTTTGTAAATGTTTGTTTTGGTTTATGACCGCTAGATAAGTATAAGTTTTCTGATGTATTTTCCATGAAAGACACATATTTTACTCATTATTATAACATATAATATTACTATAATTGCAATTCTTTGTGCAAATGTGTTATTTTCATCTTAATCTTAAGTTATGAGAGGGTCTATAGGCTTATACTTATAGTTATAGCTGCCGAATTTCTGTTTATGTTCGTGCCGTGGTCCGATTAGTTTACGTTTCAGCTGACCTCAGGGTTAAACACTAGGCTACTACTACGACTACTACCGTACTATAGTAATACTACTATACTAGCGTCAACGAGTACGAGTACGTATAGCTCTATAGTACTGTTGTAGCCCTAGTACTATAGACTATAGTATCGTCGTAGCTCTAGTAGTACTGTCGTAGCCCTTCGCTCCTTCTTCGATCCTGCGACGAAGCACTATACGAGTGCGTGTACATACGTACGTATGTAATATTACGAGAGCCCAGAGCCTCTCATAACTTAAGATTGAGATGAAAATAACACATTTGCAGAAAGAATTGCAATTATAGTGATATTATATGTTATATTAATGAGGAAAGATATGTTTTTCATGGAAAATACATCAGAAAACGTACTTATCTAGCGGTCATAAATCCAAAACAAACATTTACAAATGGGCGGTTGTCTCTTGTCAAAGGCAAAGCAAATCGAAGCAGCCAATCAGAAGGCACAAATTCTTCGCCTATGTTATACCGTTTGGGAAAAAAAAAATTTCGCCCCCCGGCTGTCGGCCCTCGGGAACGCCCACGTAACCCGCGCGCACCCGGCGCGATGCCGCCAGCCGCCGCGCTCGCCGGTGTTCCGTTACGCCGGCGGCGTACTACGCACTCCCGGCGCACACTATCTCGCCGCCGGCGCGCACCACGCACCGGCGCACACTATCTCGCCGCCGGCGCGCACCAAGCACCCCCGGCGCACACTATCTTCGCCGCCGGCGCGCCACACGCACGCCCCGGCGCACACTATCTTGCCGCCGGCGCGCACCACGCACCCCGGGCGCACACTATCTCGCCGCCCGGCGCGCACTATCTCTCTTTCATGACCCGGGTGAGCGCGCAAATCAGGCTCTCGCCGCTACATCGCCCCCCTTCCTCTCTCGCGCTTCGAGCTACCAATACTAGCGGCGTCAGCCTGAATTGCGTCACTCACCCGAGTGTATACACTGTACATAAATTCACGCGAAGTGAAATTACAAATTTTAAATTACCGCGATACAAAATTACAATTCTAGATCGCGGCATGAACTTACAGAATTAATATCCCGCAACATACAATTATCAACGTAGTTGAAATCCCCCTGTTATAATTACACTGTTGAATTCCCCTTATTATAATTACACTGTTGGAATCCCCCCTATATCATTACACTGTTTGAATCCCCCCTATTATAATTACTCTGTTGAATCCTGATGCGGCTCCCTTCGGCTGTCGACGTTCGCTGCCAGGGTAGACCCAGATCTCTCCTTACTTGGGCGGCTTCTGCCAGCAGCAAGCCGCGTCGCTCTTTCTCGTCGTCTATCAGCCAGGCCGTTTTTCATGACGCGCAAGCTGGAGATGGCGGTTGAGGACATCGGCCTGGCGAAGCATGCGCTCTCGACATCCGCGAATCTCCCCATCGACGACCATCGGCTCCAATCTCCGTGCCGGTAGCGGGGTCGTGTCGGAGCCGGGGTCGTCGTCGGAGCCGCGGGGGGTCGTTCGTCGGAGCCGCGGGCGGTCGTCGTCGGAAGCCGGGGGTCCGATCGTCGGAGCGCGGGGTCATCGTCGGAGCCGCGGGGTCATCGTCGAGCCGCGGGGGTCGATCGTCGGAGCCGCGGGGTTGTCGGTCGCGGATGGTGGATCGCCCACACGGCTGATCGCCGCTCTCTCGCTGCGCCGCTCCTGGTCTCTGCGCGGGCGTGGGATGGCGGGGGCCGCTTGACGACGACGAGCAAGGCCGGACCGCCGGGCGCTCGGACGCAGGGCGATGAGCGGCCGTCGCGGGGGTTGTCGTCGGCGTCCTGGTCGAGGCCGGCGCGTCAGCGGACGCGCAGATAACCCGACAAGAGAGCCGCCGAAATGACGTGTTCTCTCGCCCCGGATGTACGCTCCAGCCGTCCCGCCGATAGTCGCCCCGCAGTTTGTGGGGGCGTCTTGGAGGATGCCTCGCCAGCCGGTGCTCCAACGATTGCCGGCAGGGAAACTTGCATCGCCGACAGGGCATCGCACCACCGCCCACGACGCGTGTGTAAATTCGCGTCCGTGGGCACGTGCGTGCAGCGTGGGGCGGTCGCAGGCCACGCACCAGGCCCATCGACCTGACCCCACGGCCCCCGCCTGGAGTGGGGCGCCTCCAAAGAGGCGCCGCCTCGCGACGTCGCCGGGCCCCATCGGGCGGCGGCGGTGTCGGCATGCTCGCGCCGGCGCGCGCTCTCACGGCAGGCCGGGAGCGCAGGAGCGCATGACCGCGCCGGCGCGCTCTCACGGGCGGCCGGGAGCGCAGGAGCGGAGGACCGCGCGCCGTAGCTTTGGTGATGGCGGCGCCCTGCCGCCGCCGCGTTGGTCATCGCTCTCGCCCCTTACCCGCTCCGGCCGGTACGGCTGTTAAGAGCCTTCGCTCTTCCCTGCGTGAGCGCGGCCTCTTCGGCAGCTGCTCGCCGGCAGCCTCTCCTGCCCTGAATTTCCTTGGGCGGCCTCGGCGACAGGCGCCGTGCCTCCCTCCATCTCCTCGCCGCCGACGAGGCGCCGTCCTTGCTCTCGGGTCGACGTCACCTCTCCCTCGCCTCGGGTGGTTGCGCGCGGCGGCGGTGATAGCGGTGCCCCTCGGCGGCCCGTCGGCGGGCGGCGGGGACATGCGGCAACCCTCCGGGGTGCCGGCGGCCATCTCGATGACGGCGCTCCTCTCGCCGGGCGTCCATCCCGGTACTGGAGCGGGGGCTCGTCTTCGGCCGCGGAGCGCGGCAGGGGCAAGGAGACTCGCCAATCCCCCGCGCTTGGTGCCCGTGCGTCCGCCTCCTCCTCTCCCGCGGGCGCCACCCTCGGCGACACCTTACTCGCCACGCCAATACGGGCGGCGAGCGTGGGACTTTCCTGCCGGGGCTCGGCAAACATCCGTAGCCGGCGTCCGGAGACGGGCGCTAGGGGCGCCATTCCTTCTTCTTCAGTTCTTCCGTGCTGCTGCTGTTGCTACTACTGCTTCCGCCTGCTACTACTGTCGCACTCGAGGTCCACTCGTAGCCCTTCTCCAAGTCTTCCATCATTTCTCCCATCATTTTTACGCTCTTTGTGATTCAATCTTTCTTACTGTCTGTCCACGTTCTTCGAGTTGTTTGCTCCTACCTCTTCCCATTTTATACGCTGAGCGAGCCACCACTGGTCACCAGTCTGACGTCATCCCCCATCGTATTACGCCACACAGGCTTCGCACGCCCCAGCTTCATTTCCAGCTGTGAGATTCTCTTATTCCTCTCACTCTGCGCCATCACAGCTCCTCTTCCCGAGGGAGTAGACTCTTCGTTTTGGCAGGTCGGAAGGGCTACCCGTGACGTATCAGCCTTCCGATTTGCATCGCCGTCCGACATCGGCCGGCGCCATATGCGCACCGCCCGTCGGCCGACCTTTCAGCGACGCTACCGTCGCCCCGGTAAACTTCTTCTGTCCTTCCTGCGGTAAGCGGCTAGGTCTCCTTGCGCCGTATCGGCTTCCCGAATTACGTTGCGCCGACGACGGTCGGCCAGTTGCTCATATGGCGACGCCCGTCGGGCCTGATTGCGGCGCACGCTCACGCTACCCGGTATCTTCTTCTGTCCTTCCTGCGGTACGCGGCTAGGTCTCCTTGCGACGTATCGACTCTCCGAATTACGTCGCCGTCCGACGTCGGCCGGTCGCCATATGGCGACCGCCGTCGGCCGACCTTTCAGCGGCGCTACCGTCGCCCCGGTAAACTTCTTCTGTCCTTCCTGCAGTACCGGCCAGGTCTCTCTGTGACGTATCGCGCTCTCCGCAATTACGTCGCCGTCCGACGTCCGCCGTCGCATGTGGCGACCGCCGTCGGCCGACCTTTTCACAGCGGCACTAACCGTCGCCCCGCGTAAACTTCTTCTGCCCTTCCTGCGGTAGGCTGGCCAGGTCTCCTTGCGACGCTATCGGCTCTACCGAATTACGTCGCCGTCTCCGCTCGGCCGGTCGCCATATGGCGACCGCCGTCGGCCGACCTTTCAGCGGCGCTACCGTCGCCCCGGTAAACTTCACTTCTCTCTTTCTCCCTGTGGTAGGCGGCTGGGTCTCATTGCGACGTATCGGCCTCCCGAATTACGTCGCCGTCCGACGTCGGCCGGTCGTTATGTGGCGACCGCCGTCGGCGATCTTTCGCGGCACTACGGTCATCCCGGTAAACTTCTCTCTTTCTCTGTGGTAGGCGGGTGGGTTTCATTGCGACGTATCGGTTCTTCCGAATTAACGTCCGCGAGTCGACGTCGGCCGGTCGTTATTGTGGCGACCGCTCGGCGACCTGTTCACGCGGCCACTACCGGTCCATCCCGGTAAACTTCTCTCTGTTTTCCTGTCGGTTAGGCGCTGCGTCTCATTTTTCCGGGGCGGAACCGTAATTCGGCTCTGCGAATTAGCGTCGCCCGCCGACGTCGGCCCGTGTTATGTGCGACCGCCGTCGGCAGAGCCTTTCAGGCGGCATACGCGTTTCATCCCTGGTAAACTTCTCTCTTTCTCCCTGTGGTAGGCGGCATGCGGTCTCATTGCACGTATCGGCTCTCCGAATTACGTCGGCCGTCCGTTCGCGGCCGGTCGTTATGTGGCGACCGCCGTCGGCCGACCTTCCAGCGGCACTACGGTCATCCCGGTACTTCTCCTCCTCCTCCTGTACAGATCCGCGTCTCTCGGCGGGGCGCGACGCCAGTGGGGCGGCACTCTCGACACTGGCGACAGCCATGGCTGTCCGTCGGCTTCCTTCCTGCGGCGTTAGGGATTATGCTGTTCCTCGGTGCAAGGGGGAGTGGTCGCGCATAGTGCATCATGGACGACCTCGGGTGTGCATACCGTACCTCGCCAGCAGAGGGCGTGACCCCTCCCCTGGGGCGATCTCTCAATTTCTGGCTGGAATACACCACAGCCTCCACTTCCTCCCACGTGAGAGTCTCCTCGCCTTCTCCCCCTTGACCGGCCACCGAATTTCCTCGCCGATGACGCTCGACGCTCCGTCCGTCGAACTAGGGGATGATTAAGTCATCCCCTAGATAAAAACTCGACGGATGCGTCTTCCCGGCTGGCGCTGTCTTGGTCTCTCCCGACTCCTTCCACTGCCGTTACGCCTCAACTTTCTGAGGTAGGCGAATCGTACGTACGCACTACATATGTTTCCGTAGCCGCCCACACCTACATCTCCGTATAAAGCCGAGATATCTTGGTGGGCGTACTACACGCTGGGAACGCGTTCTGCGTCCCGGCTCCATCAGGGCGATGCCCCGCCGGCGGTAGGAGGCTTCTAGCTCCCCCGCCGGGCGTCGCCGTCGTCTGGGATGCGGCTCTTTCCCTCCTCCAATTTCCTCTTCGCCGCCGGCGATCTCACCCCAGCGGTGATCGCCGTCTTCGTCGCCGACGGCGCTCTCACCCCCGTGGGGGTCGCCGTTTTCTTTATCGCCGACGGCGATCACACCCTCGTGGTGATCGCCGTTCTCTTTGTCGCCGACGGCGATCTCACCCTCGTGGTGATCGCCGTCTATGTCGCCGACGGCGCTCTCACCCCCGTGGTGATCGCCGTCCTCTTTGTCGCCGACGGCGATATCACCCTCGTGGTGATCGCCGTCTTCTCCGCCGGCGGCGATTTTACCTTCGTCGTAGTGATCGCCGTTTTCTTTATCGCCGACGGCGATCTCACCCTCGTGGTGATCGCCGTCCTCTTTGTCGCCTACGGCGATCTCACCCTCGTGGGGATCGCCGTCTATGTCGCCGACGGCGCTCTCACCCTCGTGGTGATCGCCGTCTTCTTCGCCGGCGGCGATCTCACCCTCGTGGTGATCGCCGTTTTCTTTATCGCCGACGGCGATCTCACCCTCGGTATGATTGCCGTTTCTACGCGCGACGCGACTCACGTTTCCGCGGTGGATTGCCGTACTCTCTGTCGCCGACGGCGATCTCACCCTCGTGATGAGATGCCGTCTTCTCGGTCGCCGGCGCTCTCACCCTCGATGTGATCGCCCGTCTTTCTTTGCCGGCCGGCGATGCTCACGCTTCGCGCGGTGATCCGCCGTCTTCTGCGACCCGACAGCGATCTTCACCTCGTGATTGATCGCCGCTTTTTCTTCGTGCCGACGGCGATCTCCTGCGTCCATGACGTGTTGGCGTCCCAGCGGCCCGTCGCGGCCTGCTTGTGACGGGTAGTGCTTCGCCTGTGTCGATCGTGTGCGCATCCGGTCGGTGGCGTCCCAACGTTTCCCAGGCATGCGCAAACAGGTCACTATTAGTGGCCCGACAGCTCCGCGCAATTCGACCGTTTGTCCACGGGTGAGGTGGCATCAGCAGATGGCTCCACCGATCTGACCGCAGAAGGCTGAGGCAGCTGGGACCAGTGTATCCGTTCTGTGTTCTGGAGGCGGGGAGGGGCCGGCTAAACGGGTGCCATGCACCAGCCACTTCTATTTCTAGGTGAGCTAGTTCTTCGTCCGGTGCTATACGCTACCATCTCATGCAGCGATGTTAACTACTATGAGGGGAACTTCCGCTTCAACGTACCACTGCAGACCTCCGCCCCATTCAAGATGCCTCGCGCCCTTTTGCCGTGCGAACCTGGCCGTGGGTTCAAGCAATCGCCAGTTGTCTCTTCTCCACGGCCGTTTGCCAACGAACCGTCCACCACCGGCGCGCACCCCGGGGGAATCCATCACTCGCCGGACAGCAGTCACCCGCCGTGGCTCTAAGCTTCTGCTTCTCCATGCAGCGCGTGCAGGACGGCCCATCAAACTGTCAGATGGCCGCGAGCAGCGTCCACCTGGCAGTTATGGCTAACGAGGAAGTCCATGCCCAATATGCCGTACTTCGTGCCCATCTCTGCTACAAGGATATCCTGTCCATACTTCTCCCCGCCGAGCAAAAATTCGGCTTCTATCTCTCCAAGCGAGTCCAACGGTTTTCCCTGTACATCATACATGTCCATGCTAGCCGGCTTCAATGAAGGTTTTCCCGTAGGAAACCCTTCGTAGACTCCCCGGTCCAACAGGGTGGCATCAGCGCCGGTGTCGACCATAAACTCGACGGGTCGGCCGTACATCATTACAGTTACGTGCCACGACGGTCGAGGTTGCACTCGGCCAACGTGACCGTGTGGTTTCGGTATCCGACGCTGTGCTCTTCCCTGGGCCGGAAGTGCGGATCTACATCCGGCTCCTACTCGTTTCCCGGCGGTGTGCTAGTGGTCGGGCGGTCGGTCACCACCTGCGCCGACTGCCGGTTATCGGGGTGCTCGTTTTGGCCGACGGGTTAGCCACCACGGCATTCTCGCGCCATATGGCCTTGTCTCCCACATCGGAAACAGATAATCGGCTCTCGCTGACCTCCGTATCGTCTGCCTCGGTCGTCGCGACCCGTCAACGGCCATACGGCCTTACGGTCGCCATAGGATAGCTCTCGCCTCGAGATGGGGTAGTCGAATCGCCGCCCCTGGTCACGATCTACTTCGCTTCGTCCGAAGACGTCACGCATGATCTGTGCCAGGTCGGCTAGCTCCTCCGGCGTCCAACGGCTGGTCGTCTGCTTCTCCGGGGTTTGCCCGGCAACGGGACCGGTGGGCTCTCGGGCCGTGCCGCCCCCGTTCTGTCCAACCTGTCCTACGTGTGGCTTCCTGCACGGCGCATCTGCCCCAACGATCGCCTCGTACTCCGTCGCGTGTGCGGCAGCCTGCTCTACCGTTTTATCATGCTGGCCAAGCACGTATACGCGCTGGCCGACACTCGGTAGGTTGTCAACAAACCTCCACAGCGCCCACTCACTCTGCTGGTCGGGCGTGGAGTTCGGGAGCGCGCGGCTGACGAGTTTCTTCAACTCCCTGGCGTACTCCAGCCACGTCTCCTCCGGCCGTCGTCGGCGTTTCTCCATAGCTGCCTTGTGTAGCAACTCCTGCCCGGCCGGGTGGAATCTGCTATGCAGTTCAGCCCGGAGGGCGGACTCAGAGAGGTTCTCTGCACACCCGTCGATGACTTCCGCCGCCGGCCCTTCCAACGCTGCCGCGAGCTGCGCAGTGCGAGCAGCCTCGTTCCAGCCGTTATACTCAGCGGCTATATCGAATTTCTGTAAGAACGTTTCTAGGGTGGTACTCTCCCGCCCAGTAAACGGCCTCACTCTCATTCGATCGCGCTGTGATACGCCTCGAGCTGCCTCCGGCTCTGTCATCCCTCGCCGTCGTACCCTTCTATGTCAGCCTCGGCTCGGCGAGGCGTCGGGATATCGCTTCTCCCACACCGGCTCGTCTTCAGTTGAGTCTCGGTCGTACCGAACGTAACATGCCCAGCCGGCCTCGGCGTTACGCCTGGAGCTTGCGCTCTCGGCTCGCCGGGCGTGGGGGTTACGTCGTCGGCGTAGTCGGTGTATGGCTCCATCATTGTCGGGCTGTCGTCGCTCACTGTCTCCGACCCTGTCACCGACCCGGGCGACTGAGGGTATGCTCCAGCCGCAGCGGTCTGCTCCATAGGGCGCCCTACGCCGTACCCGGCAGGGGTATCGCCTGAGATCGCTGTCGAATCCCATACCACGGAGGTGTCTCTTCTATCCGGTCCTCGGGGAATCACCGGCATCTCTCTTCTGCACTCCTTTCGTATTCCCGGCTCTCAAGCTTCTCCGCAAAATCCTGGTCACACGGCACCAATGTGGCGTTTTTGGGGATCCTCTTGTTCACACCTTAACCACACGGCCGTTTCTATCTTTTGGGCTGTGTGTCGCGTGTTTCACGCAGCACCAATGTGTGCCGTATTCTTCGCGCTCTTCTTCTCCACCGTTTTTAGTGATCGTATAGTACCTTGTGCGTTGTGTTCTTTACCTACCGGCGGTTTAATCGCCGGCTCTTGCGGCCGTCTGCGAATGTGCGTTGAGTGTGCGTGGATGGTAGCTCGACACGAGAGTAGACTACCACCAAGCCGGAATACGTTTCTAATGGCTCTAAAGAGAGGCCGTTTCATCATCACAAAAACATGTTCCGCATTCGCGGAGGTGAAAACAGTAGAATTACACGCCCTTGGGTTGACATCGCAATCATAATCCTACCCCTTTCCCCCCGGTCAAAATTGTTTACGTTTACTCCTAAACTATATCCTACTCTTCTATATCTCAATTGAACCTATGTACTTAATACTAATCTTATTAGCTGCTAATTTTAACCTCTTCATCCTATCTAACTACTCTCTCTTGTGTGTCCCCTAGCTGGCTACACTAACTGTTGTCTAACCTTAGTCCCTGGTGTAGTAGTCTCGAATTTTTAACTCTAAATTTAACTTAACTCATTGCTGCTCGTAAAGTACTCCTTATATACCCCGCGGATTCCAAAGGTACACTTCTCTTAACCAATGAGAACCCTTCGCGCGCTGAAATACATGTATGCGCGTTAGTTACTGCTTGCGCGCATCGCGGATTGAAGGACGCACATCTCTAGGCCAATGACAAGAGCTTCCGCGCCAAGTACATCACGCGCACGCGCACTGGCTTTGCCACATCGAGGGTTTTGAAGATGCCCACATCTTCTTAGGCCTACATGACAAAGCTTCCACGCCCAAAGTACAACACGCGCACGCGCAATGCTTGTCTTCACATCGCGTATTAAGACGCCACATCTCCTAGGCCAATGACAGGGCTTCGCGCCCACAATACCTGCATGCAACGTGCAATACACAATCCGCGAAGTCGCTAGACGAGAATATACAATCGGCCCAGCTGTAAATACTACTTACTAACCGCGCTGGACAAAATAAATACATTGTTGCGCAGGCTTATGTTTAAAACCAGAGCCATTTGTCATTGCTGACCTGTTGGCAGGGCTGCTAGCATGAGCAGCGTGCAAGTAAGATCCCCAGGGGGGCTAATGCACCGCCGTACCTTCCGAGCCCGGCTTAGCCTTCTCCGGCCGGTGCCGCCTACCCCCGGCCGCCGCCCTCGGCGACACGACTCCACGTAAGCCCAGCGCACGCCGGCGCGTCGTGCCAGCAGCCGCCGCGCTCGCGGTGGTGTTCCGTATTACCGCCGGCGCCGTACTACGCGCCCCCGGCGCACCCACTATCTCCGTCCGCCGGCGCGCCTAAGCCACGCACAGCCCCGGCGCACACTATCTCGCCGCCGGCGCACACCTATCTCGCCGCCGGCGCGCACCCACGCACAACCCCCGCACTCATCTCCGCCGCGCCACACACCGCACATATCTCTGCCGCCGGCGGCGCCATCTTCGCGCCGCACAGCACCCCCGGCGCACAGCATCTCGCGACGCCGGCCGCGCACCACCGCACCCCCGGCGCACACTATCTCGCCTGCCGGCGCGCACGACGCACGGACCCCGGCGCACACTATCTCGCCGCCGGCGCGCACTATCTCTCTTTCATGACCCGGGTGAGCGCGCAAATCAGGCCGCCGCTACATCTGTGATAACAACATTTAGTCAAAAGTTGAAAAAAAGTTGCTAAGTCACCGTTGAAACAACGTTGAATATGCGTTGAATGTTGTACGTTGAATCAACGTTGTGATAACAACATTTAGTCAACAGTTGAAAAAGAGTTACTAAGTCAACGTTGTAACAACGTTGAAATTTTAATTATTAACTTATTGACTTATTTTCTTTATTGAGAAGTTGTGGTATCTACTCAAGATAATTCCATTCGTCATACATTTCACATTTGCCGGGGGATTTGTTTCTACCTCCCCTCCCCACAAACCCCATAGCCCAACGCCGCCTGCGTGTTTTTTCCCGTACCACTAATGCGTAAATCGCCACCACACCATAGACGGTATTTGGTACTATGACACTTGTATATAAGATCGCTGTGTGGAAGAGTATGCGCGTGCACCTGTTTGTGTGTGTGCACGCGTGTGTACAATTATGTGCGTGTGCTCGCCTATGTGCGTATATGTGTGTATGAGTGTACATGCACGTACGCACGTGCGTGCTAACCCTAACTCTGACCCTAAATCTAAACCTACGCCTAATTCTGACACTAACCATAGCTCTAACACTAAACAGAACTCTGACCCTAACCATAGTTGATATACGCATGATTTTGATGAGTCATCATGCATGGGGTTCAGCGGGTGAAGCGACAACATAGCATATCCGCATGTAAACGTATTCGTACATCTCGTTAATAGCTAATAATATATAAGGTATTATTAGCTCGTGATCGCGTTAGTATTTCACCGCGCGAGGGCACACTTTGCATATAAATTTTCTCTGCCTTTCTCTATTATCTAACTGACT